AAAGAAGTGATTTTATCCCAGACATTACGTAGGGCCATTCCTTTTCACAGCTTTATCTGGTCAATAATAACCCATTAATTGCAGGTATTATGTCTAGGCCTCTAAGTGCTAGACATGTTACAGCTCTGCTGGGCATTGTGCAGCATGACATAAACCCCTACAATGAGCGCAGGAAGAAGTGGCAACGCCATAGTGAACGTGGCTCTCACACTTACTTTAAGGGGTCCATAAAATCCGACTTTCGCGTATCAAATTAGGATTGGATTGAGTTGAATAGAGTTGCATAGGGTTGGGTGTGGTTGATAGTGTTAAATAGAGTTGGGAAGAGTTGTCTAGGATGTGAAAGAGTATAGGATTGGATAGAGCCAATTAAGGTCCCCACACACCTTGCGATAATCGTACGATAATCGCGGGAAATCCCGCGATCGTACCATTATCGTAAGGTGTGTGGAAGCCGTGCGACCTCTACTACTGTAAGGTCGCACGACTTTAAACTTACGAACATGTTCGAAAACCAGCTGAGCATCGTACGACATTCAGCGGGCGTGTAGCATGTTCGTAAGATAAAAGCCGGGACGGGCCGGTGTGCGCAAGCTCACACTGCCCGTTCGGCATTGCGGTCATCGGAAGCTCGCCCCTCAGGGGGGCGCGGCTTGCGATCATCGCAAGTACGATCTGTCTGTGCAAGATGGGCAGATTGTACGTTTTTTTAAGTACCTTACAACCATTTTGTCTTGCGATGGTTGTAAGGTGTGTGCCCAGCCTAAAGGTGCCCATACACTGCACGATTCTCGTACGAGAATCGCGGGAAATCCCACGATCATACGAGAATCGTGCAGTGTGAATGAAGACGTGCGATCGTTTCTATTGTACGGTCGCACGTCTTTTGTCTAAGGAGCACGCTAGAAAACCAGCCGAAAATCGTTTGAACGGTGCTCGGGAGACAAATGCTGAACGGGCCGATGTGCGCACGCTCACACTGCCCGTTCAGCATTGCGGTCATCGGAAGCCCGCCCCTCAGGGGGGCGGGCTTGCGATAATCGCAAGTACGATCTGCCTGTCCAAGATGGGCAGATCGTACGTTTTTTTTATTACTTTACAACCATCGCAAGACTAAGGTCTTGCGATGGTTGTAAAGTGTATGGCCATCTTTAGAGTTGGGAAGAGTTGTATAGGATTGGATGGAGGTGGATAGAGTTGTATAGGATTGGATGATGCAGCTGTGCGGGGAGAGGCAATCACAGCCGCACCTAAAGACTAAATATAGGTAAAACATGAAGCCTGGTCTGAAAGGTAAACTTAGCCTTTCAAAATGAAATCATTAAATAAAGTCAAACTAGGTTCTGCACATGTGCAAATGGAACAATAATAAAACTATAAATGCAGCAAGGACATTGCAGCGAGATCCGTACGTCCAGCTCTGGCCGCCGGCCATGGAGCCTCAGGAGCAGCTTCCCAGCCCCCGGCATGTGAGTGAGAAGTGGATACAAAGTATCAGCACGATTCTTATTGTTTCCTGTTGCTCTTGGTCTGAGTTGATGATCTTTGTGGGAGTGCAGCCATTGTTTTACTGTTGTGTCTTTTCTTCTAAGGTGCTTTATTGTCTTTAGAAGCTCCCGTGCTACAGAACCTTAAGGTGGCATATTATCTAATATGGGGGGGGGGGGGGG